GGCTAAATGGCGATAATACAGCTCCGATCAGCCCATAAATTGGAGCTGATTCTGTGTTACACCAGCTGATTGCACGCGTATTTTCGGATATTCACCGTACATACAGATGGGATGATAGAGAAGGGGGAGGGGGCGGGGCAGTTAAAAAAGACATTTTGTCTCCACATTCAGATGGATTTATCACACTTTGCTCAATTCAGACCGAATGGTCCCAACTTAATATTGAAAAGCACATTTCATTTTATGAAGAAAAAAACTTCGCACTGGCCTTTTACGCGGACAACATCAGAACAATCTGCAACTGCAACTGCAACGGCTGGCAAATGGGCTTGTCGACCAAATGGCGGAAGAACAAAAATTGACACCTACATATACAACTCTCTAGCACGAGATCAGTTTCTGCTTCAGCGACAATTCATATGTTCTCGACTACGCTTCATGCTCTTTCCGCTCATCAGTAGCAGAAGTATGGACCTATCTAGGGTTGTTGCTTGAAGGAATCCTTCGCGGAAAATTCTTGCATTCTTTCAACATGAATGTGTCAGTTGTGATCACTGGAAACAGCACACAAAGTTTCACGCATGAAGATTCGGTTTCCGAAGAGAAACAAACGTACAAAAACTACACTCTATGGACAATCGAAGGTAATAGGAGGCGAATACGAAAGGCGTAGCCTTTAAAGAGACTCGAACAACGAAAATTTCCGAAACCACCTTTCACCTCCATATAGAAATGGAAGGGCTGCTATTTCTTCTTCAAGATGACACCCAAATTGCCTGAATAATTGCGCACTGCGTTACCGAAAAAAGCTGCAGAGAATACTTGCCGGTTATTTGGCCGACGCTAATACGAGATAATACGATATCCTTCTATTTTATAAAGCGCTAACTTTGTGTGTCGGTTTGTGTATCTGTATGTGTGTGTGTATGTATGTATGTGTGTCCGTCCGCAAAATGAAGTGAGTGAGAAGGAAGCTCATGGGATAAACAAACCGCTAACAAATCGGGTAGCTTACAGGATTTGAGATATCAATGTTTTGTAGCAGGATAGTTGTGATAACACTCTTAGGGCTATATAAACACCTGCTTAGCACACTTCCGTTCATTCCACATGGTGCTGCAGTGGCAGCTGGAGGGCAGTGGAGAGAGGAAGGGAGGATGAGGAAGGGAAGCGAAAAATCTACCGTCATATCATGATTGTGTCCCTTCTACTGTATGAAACACCATTGTGTTGCATACGCGTCACTTCCAGGAGGTGTTGGTGTCACAGGAGGAAGGGACCATAGCGGAGGATAGAAAGCTTGCGCAGGAAAGGAAGGTCCCGGCGGTTGACGGGGGACTAATCTGGTATAAAAAGTACTAATCCGAAGTATGGTTCTCCAAGATTGCTGAAGAAAAAAAAGACTACAGCTGTTGACGAGATGCAAGAATACTAAGAGAAGAACCAAAAAACGCGACCTTTTTGAAGGTTATCAGGGGCTGATAGATATAGAAAGAACGAAGGTCGGGGTGCGGTGTTTTGCCTTTCAAACGATAGCAACGGTCACTACCACACCACTTTTTTCGAAAGCAGCTAACATTTGAACCATTTGAACTGCTCCTTTGAGGAACCCGCAACCTTGCCCCCTTTCCAAATATAGTCTGATCGCCTTTTTGTCCGCACGTATTACTATAAAAAGTAAAGAATAGCTGAGATAATTAATTCCACCAGTAACACAGTGGCTCTCTGTGAAAGTACCTCTTTAGTGAGTTTTTCAACGCATGCTTCGAGGGCGGATTTTTCCCACTCTGCATCCTGCCTTCCCATCGCATCCTTCTGCAGGGCTGCGATCTCAGCTGTCAAACTGAAAATATGATAGTCAGTTCATGGAATAGTATTTTACGTGTTGACTTCGATAGGTTATTTTTAATTCCACCTTGACTAATTCGAGGGCAGACTGTCACATCAGACGAATTCATAAAGGGAGGGGCTAAGTTACTCTCACTATGTGAACAAGTGTCTACTGTTCCGTTCGTTTTGGATGGACAAAATGGCAGAAAAAATTGCCAGACAGTAAGCTGTGGCAGAATTGCCGCTCTAATTTGTGGCGTTCCTAAAAGCACACTTTAAAATGTCAAGTAGATCAATTCCTCAAAAGGGTATGTTGGAGCTGCCAACTGAAGTCGCAGATGTCCCATTCTCCCGTTACAGGACAGCGTTAGTTACAGCGTGCGGGTGTCTGCACCCCCTCGCCTGCTGCGCTCCCTGCCCTGTCCTCTCTCATCCACAGTCAGTGTCTCGTTGCCTTAGCACAGCTGAATCATAAGCAGTATACTTAGTCCCTCAACTTCAGCACCTTTGAAAGATTCTTTCCGTTCTTCTTCACTACCGATTCATTCGCACCTCTACTTTAACCTTTGGCTGCATGAATCACTGCAACTTGATCATGGGTTCGCCAGTAACCCCGGTTTAGTGGGGAGAAAGAAATTCTTTTAAAAATTTCTCTAGGTACGAACCTCTCTTTCTCTACCAGCCACTCAGATTTTTCTTCTTTGAAACGATCAACCTTCTTGTTGAGCACCTCAACGAACTGACTCTGACTTTCCTGCATTGCCGTCAAATCAGCGACCTGAACATGGTCCTTTTTATTCATGAGACGAATAGATTAAGAAAACCCTAGGAATCACTTCTAAATAGGTACTTATTTTTAAATGGATGCAATCAAAATAACGATTCCAGACTGTTTCAGGATCACTCCCGTAACAAGGCACCTTCGAGTGCAGGCATACTGTTGGGTTTCATAAATAGGGATCAATAAGTAAATAAATAATAATTTTTCTTGTACCAAAATTGTGATACCCTTTGGTGGAGCACGATAATCTCCATTGAATTTTCATGCCGAGAAATCCTCAAAACATTTTTCCGAAGAAATCTCCACACTTGCTTATCAAATGCCCTTCCTAGAACCAAGTTCCATTGTTTCGCAAATATGGTACCGCCCCCTTTTATTGATTAATTCAAAAAATCAATTCAAATTCCAGTGATGTGCTAGTTCTGCTTTAATCATATGCGAAGTCTGCGAAGTGTTGGATGCCTAATTGGTCCAGACGTCGATGAAGGACTGTTTGAGCTCTTCAGTTGTTCTACGTACCCTCACCCTTAATTATCTTCACTCTGAAACCGCAGGCATTTCTCATATTCCGCCAAATATGCAGTCTACTTGAAAAATGCAAAATTCCTGCATGCAGTCTCTTAAAATACTGACACGGACAGCCTCCTTAGCAAGCACAAAAGTCATGAATGGGTGCACTGTTGAAGACAAAAGTCGGGCTTAATAAGGGGTATTATGGCCATTGAAACTGAGTATAGAGATGATGCCATGATGGCAAGGGTAGCGGTCGGGGTAGGCTGGGCAGGGGTTGGTCTTGGGTAACCCTCCTGAGTCATGATGGTGGTGGGGGCGCATCGAGACTCTCCTGAAGGAGGGGGTCGTAAAATTCCTGAAATTGTTCGAACTTCACTATCGACCCTGGTTATTAGGGTGCCGTACATCACCACATGGAATCAATCCCCGGCGGGGTAACCAAACTTCCTAAAATACAGAGACATCGAGATGAACGTAGACGCTCGTGTTGAGAAAAATTTGAAAGGTCATTTGCGATTTTTCAAAATGACAAATGCACGTAAATTCTCCCGCTTCTTTCAGATGAATACAAGCAGTTAAATACCGTTCGTTGATGATCAGACTCCAAATCGTGAAGTTTTTGCGTAAGCGCATTGTTGTCTGTTATCAGTCGATTGATTTGAATCTGGTGCTTGGCTTCGCTAAAAGTCCAAATAAATTATTCTAAAAAAAAGAAAAATCTGGGGATATATAAGAAGTTAACAAATGAGCAAATTCACGATACTCCGAAGAAGTTCTGCAATGGAAAATATCATGGAAAGGAGAAAGTTTTAAAAGTCACTAATAGCACAAATTACCTATCGCTTGCGAAGTTGTCTAGCTGCTGCCTGAGTTCCTCATGTTTTGTTTTCCATTCCTCACTGAGTGCCTCTGCTTTCTGCTTCTCGACAACGGCATTTTCCTTGCTGTAAAATCATAAAAATTAGGGACTACTGTCAATTCCCGTCTTCTGATCGCTGGAGACAACATTTTCGCTAATCTCCTTTGCGATATAGCAATTGCCCTTGATAGGTGAAAAGAGGTAAGTAGACTGTTCAGTAGAGAAAATATAAAGCAGAAGAACCCAGAAATACTGACTCAGGCCTCTTTCTGAGGGCAGGCCGAGGAGTTGGTAATCAACGTCTGAAGAGAACTGAGAGGAAGGTAGCAAGGGAACGGTGATACCCAAACCCAGCTCGCGGTAGGCGGCCGAAGCCCAAAGGAGCAAGCGTTTCCTACGCGCTTTCAGGCAGCCGCATGCGCATCACTTGCGGCTTCACACCCACACCTATCACGGGAAGTTGCGATATTTCTTGTGAGATATTTATTTTTTAGCTAGGATGTCAACCTTATCAGTTTACTGGATGGCCGGCTTTACATACAGGAACCAGATCGTAAAAGGGTTCAAGAGTATTCAATGTCAAGAGAGATAAGATAAACAAAGAGTTGCAGAGTTCTTACTTTGAAGCAAAACCACATCTGCTACATGCATGTGCATAAGTAAAGAAAGATAGCAAACAAGTAAGTTAGGATTAAAGACACGAGGAACATCATAAAACTTTTCGTCGGCACTGGGTGTCGCTTTGATGAAGATTTTACGGCAAAATATCGCCTTCGATATCCTCCATGATAGAACAGCTACACTACACTGCGTCACCGCCTCAAAGACGTCTCTT